AGGACGGGCTTCCATGGGCTCCCAGGAGCTCTTCAGTACCCCGTTTTTTCCTGAAAGTGCTGGGTGAAGCCTGGGCTTCAGCAAGGTGCTCCTGCCCTCTGAGATGTTTCCTTCCTTGAGAGCGGGGCTGCTGCCACCTAGTGGTGACTATTTAAACCGCGCTTGGCTGAAAAGGATGCCCAGCTTCCTGTTGTGGGTTCACTGGGGGTTTTATGAAATTTTGGACTTTACTGATGATTTCCTGCATATTCAGTTTCGCTTTCACTGGGATCATCTATGAATCTGGATAATAAAGGCAGCAATTTTTTTGGCCTGTCAATGAGTTTCTACTTTTGAAGTAACAATGGCCAAAATATGCTTTTGGCAGGTCACTCAGGCCGGACAGAGTCTTTGTTATGCGTGCAGCTAATGGCTGGAAACAGCTGCAGCTGAGACTCAAACATCCTGGGGCCGTCAGCAATGTCCTCCCTCTCATCCCAGAGTCCCAGAACCTTGAAGAACTTTGCAACTCTTTGCACACAGGCCTGGGGGGAGGGGAGTCTCAAGATGCCAGGGAGGAAAGTGCTAACTTCCCTGAAAGAACCTGAACACTTGTTCAGCAAGATAAAAGACAGTCACAGTATTTAAAGCTTCAGGGCGTAAGTAAACAAAACTGCGCTGGAATCGTCTCATCCCTGAGGACGAGGCGGCCCTTTGTGAGATGTGTGCCCAGCAGTTCACATGTCCAGACAGATGAGACTGACACAACGGCCAGCTCTGCAGAAGAGGAGCCTTCCCCACAGACCCCCAGCAATGCCGGCCATGCTTTCCAGCCAAATGTGCAGAGCCGTGGGTTTCAAAGCCTCACACACACCCTGCACACGCTGTTTGGGAGGTGAGTCTGTATAAAGCTGGCAGGAACCGTGGCACTGAGCACCCCTGTGAAGGAGAGATTTGGGGTCTCCCTTCAAACCCCTCCAGCGGAGGTCGAGGAGCAGGGAAATGGCCTGGCTAGGGAAAGGGCTTCCTTTCCGCCTCTGTCTTCCACTGCTGCACAGCCTGCTCCCTTGAGTGGCTGCTTTGGGACTGCGTGGAGCTCCGTCCCTGCCAGTGTCTGCAGAGACTGGTTCCAGGATGCCCTGTGGACCCCAGAATCTGCAGACGTGTGCTTGGTCCCTCAGGTGAAATGGCATAGAATTTGCACACGGCCTTTCACCATTCTCCCATCTACTTGAAATCAACCGTAAATGACTTCTAATTCCTAACACAGTGTAAATACTCTGGCATAAGTGTTGCACTGCATTGTTTAGGGAATAATGACAAGATGTCTCTACATACCTGTTATGGTTTGCGTCTGGGTGTCCCCCAGGCTCATGCAGTCATGGAGGCGGCTGAATCTAGCGTTTGTGATTGGTGTGTTGTCTAGCACTGGGATTGGTGGTGTGAGTGCTGCACCCACCCAGGGGCGGGGAGCCCGCACGTAAGGCAGGGAAGGAGGTGGGCTTTCCACCGTTTTGCCTTTTCACTCGTCCCTTGCAGCCAGCATAAACTGTTGCCCATTAGCCACGCCACTCTGCCTTGAAACCAACTGAGTATACAGAGAACTCCAAAAACTACAAGCTAACTAAAGCTTTCCTTCCCTAATTTTGAGGGTATTTTGTCCCAGCAGCAAGAAAAAAGTAACCAAGACATAGTCAACACAGATGCAACTTAAAGACTATTTTTGATCAGACTTTGCTGGAATGCAAGGGTGTGGAATCCAGCTGATTGCTGTAGGCTGACACAGAATCCAAGATCAAGTCACGGTGCCTTTCCCTGGACACTGATCAAGGAGTACTAGAAGATCAGGTGTCATCTGCAAATGCTCGGATCGAGACCATCTCATGGTGTTGGGAAGACCAGAGGACGGAGAACCAAGACAGAAGGTGGCAAGCCGGGGGAGGCAGATGCAAGGGGCACCCCGGGAGAGTCTGGGTGGACAGTGCGGAGACGAGGGAGAGTGAGCGTGGCACTGAGCCAAGGGCAGTGGGGTGCAGGGTGGCCCCGTGTCCTGCTCCAACTGAATAGGTAACAAGGGGACTTGGAAGCCTTTGCCCTAGGGGAAGGACAGAGCTGACATGAAGTCAGTTACACATACTGTTACCACTCACGAGCAGCTAATTGCAGCTCGCTGAAGAGCATGGGCTGATAATTCATGTTCATGTACAAAGTGTGAGGAAGAAGGAGCAGACACGATCTCAGCATTCACCCCAGTGGGCTGGAACTGGTATGATGTTACCAGAGAACTGGCAGAAAATACTGATTCTCTTTATCTGATATTACACTATGTGGTTTCCCACGTTTCCAAATTTTTACTATTTTGTTTCTTTTCATTGTAAGATAAGCATTACCTCAAAAACAGAAAGAACAGGTCTGTTAGTTAATTTTTTAACAGGAAATGATTGTGTGTATGTATTGATAAATGTCCTTGTACACACACACACACACACCTCTGAGTCCCAACTTCTAGATGTGCATTATTTTCAAGTACAATTATCCATAAATTGAAACTGTATGACATACATAATTTCTTTCATGTAAATTTTTAAGGTGCACTCGAGGAAAGAATCCAACCAACACTGAATAAAAACGAGGTATTGCTGCCGTCCAGTAGTCATTCACGGAAACTGCATATTTACAGTTCTTAAAAAGAACATTTTTATCCACAGCACTACCACCATAGGAAAACAATAAATAAAATAAAAACAACACAAAAAATCCAAACCAAACCAACAAAAACCAGGAAATGTTGTACGAGATGAATGTAAAATGACCAAGAACTTTTGATTACTGATAGTATTCAAACTTAAATAAGACTTTAAAAGCCCCTGTTTTCAGCACAAATTTCTTCAATTCAAAGCAGTACTTCCCAAGTTCATGGTGAGACTCTAAATGGAGTGGTAACCATCATAAGTGCAGCAGCAAACAGAAACACTGAGCCATCACCCAGGATTAGGAGGCAGATTTATTTAATGGCCATGAGCACTGGCCCCAAAGGCTCAGCGGGGGAGATTGTAGGGGCTTTGTAAGCAAGAACCAGCACCAGCGTACCTGGCTCTCTTTGATGGGTCCTTACGATGTGCATCTCAGTGACCAGCTGTGCGCCACAGTGACTGAGCGTTTCTAAGGGACAGAAGTACCAGGAACTGCAGCAGGCACAGAGGTAAAGTAGAGGTCACCTGGGCAACTGACAGACACCGAAGCGCACTGTGGGAGGGCCACTTCCTGCCACCTGAGACCTGCCTTCCTCAGAGAGACCCAGCACAGAGCTCAGAGGCAGAGTGGGTGCCACGTTCCCCACTGTGTTCCGCTCTTCTGCTGCGATGCAGACCGTGGCGCCATTGTGGGATGTGCTCCGGCTCTTTCTACCACAGGGGCACGAGCAGAGGGACAGGGATGGAAGAGGCAGAACTGAGGGTTCCCGTGGAGCCTGCCTCTGGCAAGTTCTTACTCACCTGCTGTGGTTTCTACTGCGCTCCCTAAGAGGGGCTTGCCCCCCTGCAGGGGCCTCCAGGCCAGGAGAATCCCCCAAGGTGGTGCTCAACCCGTGATCTCACTGCGTGAGAGAGGGAAGGGAAAGGCTGCCAGCATCTCCTGCTCAGCTGCCCACCAGTGTGCTGTGCACTGTGGTGCACTCCCCGAGACACAGCTGGTTGGCGGGGCGTTGGGACCACCTGCTGTACAAGCAGCACTGAGAGTTATACTCAGAGAAGAAGCCCATCTGGGGGTCCGGCATCTCGTCCTTTGCACCCCTAGACAGGAAGCCTGGCTGGGGGCAGGTCGCTGTGCCAAGGCTCCTGGAGAAGTGAACCCATCACCCCACCTGACCTTGGAAGCACAACCCAGAATGTCAGAGACTTGTTCAGAGACTGTCAGAAGACCTACCCCATGCACGTGTGCCCAACTTCTCTTTTAAAAATATTTTTGGAATTTTTAATTTTCCTTGTTCTCATGTTCTCTGTGGTGATTACTATATTTTCATTATAAACAGCCAGCACTGATGTAGCTGCAATACAAAATCAGCAGAGACGAGAGATATTTTTTGCAATATGTTCCCCAGATTAAAATTTTCATTGCATGGTAATTCAGGGGGCAATGTCTCCAAACTGGGGCTTAGCGAAGACTTTCTGTAGCAAAAGCTAGAACATGTCAAGTCCCGCCCCAATGAGGAAGGTGTCACGTTCCATCAAGACAGCGATGTCCCGGAGGGTGTTATGCGTGTTCCGCTGGGGCTCAGCGTGCAGTATCTTTGGCTTCACACTACCTGGCAAAGCTAAACCACGAAGATGCACAAGAGACGTGAGAGCAGAGCTTCCTATGGAGCCCTCGGTTTCCCTTTTGTTTTGGTGACTTTTATGTGGAGGCGCAATACAGCACACACAGTGTGTTCTACAAATCCATCTGTATCCCCAGAGGAAAATGCTTCCTGTGAAGCACTTCAGAGCACCCTCTCAGTTCACTGTGCTGTCTGTGAGACCCCAAAGCCAGTTCCAGCGGGGACAATGGAATTCTCGCACCTGGCCAACCTAGACAGGCCTAGTTTTGGCACTGCTGCTGAACAGTCATGACTCCCAGTGTGAATCTGGAATTCAAGTGAGCTACAAAGGGGCAGGGTCTGTTTCTTTCACATTTTTTTATTCAGACAAGAAACTGATGACCCAATTTCAGTACTCTGCATTACTGATCACAAACAGCTAGCAGAGGGTAACAGAGCTCCAAGCAGGCAGTGCCAGCACCTCCTGGGCACACACACAGGGAGGACTTCTCTGAGGAGAGGAGCCCAGCCAGCCCAGGCGGAACATGATGGAGAGCATCTGAGTGGACCCGAGCCTGCGCTGTGGTCTCTGCAGGAGTTTTCCACAGGAGATAAGAACCCAGAATGTTTTAATTCTTTCCTCAAACAACTTCACAACACTTTTCCTTTGCAGCAGTTTAGGAAATGCGTCCACTAAAATCTGAATTTCAGAAAATGATGTATACTCTGAAGATCAATCCATTGTTTATTTTTTAATGAACATTAAAGATTCATATACAAAAGCTAACAGAGCAGTAAGTCAACAATGAAATACATATGAAGAAATCAAATGGAGAAGAACTGAGTTGCAATTTCTCACCACTGAAGCTCTACTAGCCGGAGGCAGCAAGAGGGGCCCAAGGTTCCAGGGACAGAGGCCCAGCAGCCAGGGGCTGCGAAGGGCATGAAATCGGTGCTGTTTTAACAACTTCTTTTCTTCCTTGGACACTGTTCAGTTAGTGCAAGGGTTAGGGTGGGTGGGAAATAAATTTATTTTCCCAAAAAAGGAAAGAATTTTGAAGCAATTAAATTGTTCCTTGGGAAAAATACTTGATGCGCTACTCTAATATACTATGTAGATCTGCTATTAATGTCCCCATAAATGCAGCCCATTCTATGTCTTAATGTCAGTTCATACGGTACTTTTCTGACTTCAGAATAGTAAGAATTATCAAAGGCAATTGATATTGGATATAAATGTCCATTGTTTCCTTTGAATGAAAAATGTGCTCTCTCTGATCTTTGTTTCCTACAGTAGTTGGTCAAGGAATACTCGTGGAGCATTTTGTAAAATATTGATCTGCTGGGAAACTCTGTATGAAATGACATTCAAAGTATAAAAACATCATTAGGCAACACTTTGAACAGTTAAAAATAGACATATCTTGTTTGTAAACTATCGGTGTCAGGATTCTGAACATCGGAGTGTCAGTGTCACAGCCTCCGGGTTTTCTATAAAGTCCTTTGCTTTATTTATCAAGGGGACATCTGGGAAACACCTGGAGTCACACGTACAAACATCAAGTCAGTATTATTGGTATGTATTAGTAAACATGCAAAAACTTTGCTGAAAGAAAGTGCCCAGGTCTGGAGAGTCCTTCTGCACTCAGCCTCTCCTCCTGCGGGGCCGCCAGTGGCCTACTTGGAAGAGGCAGCCCCTTTGATCACCGGCTCCCTGTTCAGATACGTTGCCCAGTAAACTAGGTTGAAAGTGCCAAACAAGACTGGAAACACAATTCGGGACATTTTGTCGATCTTGCTGATGCTGTTGTAAGTCTTTTTGCTCTCAGGCGTCTTCTCTTCGGAAGACTTGACGGGGACAGCGGACGCATTTGCGGTCCCTGCTGGGGTCTGCTCCTTTGGGATGTTTGGAGGGTGCGTCATCTTCCCAGTGGTATAAGCATTATATTTATTTAGTTTGAGTTCACGCTCCTTTTTCTGCAAAATGTAATAAGAATGTGATGTGAGAGCAACGCCCCAGTTGCTTCAGAGATCTAAAAATCCACCTCTCAAAAGAGATAAACCTCAGCTCAGACCTGGGAGAGGACAGGTGACTGCCTCCCCAGGTTGGGTCAAAGAAGGGAAACCTTGTCTTACAATAGAGAATGTAGCTCACCCTGAAGGCCCTGGGTTCAGTTCCCAGGAACGAGAAAAAGAATCCCACACTATCACCGGTTTGTAGCAGGGTGTCTTTACAAATTGTCTGTGCTCTGGATGGCACCAGGCCCTCACGCCCTTCGTGGGTGACTGTGCTTTGCTCACCAAGGCATTGACACTCATATCCTCTTAAAGGACACCTGGATTGTCTCATGCTGCACTGTTACGGGTTTGGCAGTTACGAACATTCTTGTTTTTTGAAAACACATGTTTTTATTTTTCATGACTACAAAATGCTACAACAGGCAAGACAATTTATAACGGGAAAAATGGGAACAGCAGTTACATTTGGAGATCTGAGGGCAGCAGTTGGGTGGGAGAAAGCTTAATAAGCTTTCTGGATGATGTTCTCTAGCTTGATGAATATTTAGTGCACACAGGTATACATTTTTGCCAAATACAGCAACAGGAGCCAGAATATTTGCACATTTCACGCTCTATAAATGTTACTTCAGGAAAGTAAAACAGTAAACTAATGTTAAATTCTATTTGATATATCCATTTCACAGGAATACTGCCATCTGGAATTCATTTTGAAATGCTTCAAAAAATAAGATGGAAACCAGTGGAGGCCCAGCTGCCTGCAGGGGAGAGCCAGGAGGGAGGCCCTTCCATGCCCATGAGCCAGCTGGGGTGCAGACTGGGAGAGGGGGCAACCTCCTCCCCAGCTGACTAGGAGGAACACAGACCGAGATGCTATCAACGGAAGTAAAGAAACATCCTAAAACTTGTACTGTTTGATTGACTTGGAAAGTCTAAAGCCAGTAATCTAAGCATCTATTTCGAGGATAACAATATACAATATAGTAACATAGTAGAGTTCCTGCTCTCTTAGTTCTGAAATCCAATATTGAGTTCTCGACATTTTGTTTCATGTTATTGTTGTTTTATTCCCTTTAAAATAAAAAAAAAACCCTAAGCTGGATTGCTGAGTGGGACAAGACGGATGGATGATGGAGATGACAGATAGAGGGTGACAGTGTAACCGTAGTAAAATGCTCACTATGGATAGGTGCTCACTGTAAAAAGTAATTAAACACTGTTACATGTTTTGAAAATAGTTCCAACCAAATGTTTGGAAAAACTCTGTTTCACTAACAAAGAAATATAATCTCACCAATAAAATTTGAAAAATATGTAATGGAAAGAAAACACACCAACCATTCAAACTTTGGAAATGACAGGATAAGCGAAGGTGTGAGGGGCCTCAGGTGGAGAGAGGTGGAGGAAATGCTGGTCCAGGTGTGGGGAACATGGGAACCTCTGGGGTCTCAGGAAGGAGGTCAGAGCACACATCAGAAGCAGGTGCCCGTTAGCAACACTTGACATCACACGAGCCCTGTGCCTTCGGCCAGAAAAAAGAAATACACAAGACCTGGGTCTGTGAGAAGTTTCCTTCTCTGGTAGCAGCCAGGGAAAGAGGCTCAGAAGACACTGTGGTCCATCAGTGTCTCTGAGGAACTGGCTCTGAGCACCTCAAAAACCCACGTCCCGTCTAGAAATCAGAGGAGCATTTGTCTACAACCGCTACACACCTTCCTGTATTCCATCATCTCTCCATGAAGGTCTGTGCCATGTAAACAGTTGTTCTACTGAATTGTTTAGGAAACCATGATAACACAAAGGCTGTTATGTGTTTAGCACAGATGGCAGTTTTGATTCTAAAGTAATTTTGCTCCAGAGAAGGTTGAATCCAAGGAGAGGGAACCCATAGATACAGGGAGCTGACGGCATGACCTGGCCATAACAGGGTTTTCCATTGGGAATGAGGAGCAGCAGCCAGAAACACAGGGCTCAGGCAATCTTATGCCCCACAGAGGACATGAGTCCATGTCCCTGGACCCTTTCCAGAAAGGGGCCGCTGCTCAGCCGTGAAGCCGGCTGTCACCTCCTGCAGGGTCAGCCTTGCTCCAGAGTGTTTCCTGCTCCTGTCTGCATCCTTCTTGGAAAGCTGGACCAGTGAGGGCCAGTGAGGGCCAGTGAGGGCCAGTGAGGCAGAGCAGCACAACCCGGCCACAGCCCCAGAGGCTTGCTGAGACCTCCTGGGAACCCGCTCACTGTGCAACATCTTCCCCTGTCTGACCTGGCTTCCTAGCCCTTCGCTCCCCCAAGTGCTGGCTCCCAAAACTGCTCCTACCACAGACACAGTGAAGGCAGTTCTTTTGAAAATCCTAACATGGAAAAGTGGCGAACACAGTCTAGATTTCAAGTTCTTCCTACTTCTGATTCGTGGTCCTTTAATGAGCACATAAGCACATTAAGAGGAGGTTCACTCATTCACACCGACTGCCCATGAGCGACAGACTGTGTTGCCCTCAGCCTTCCAGGAAACAGAGCAGCACCTCCTTCTGATCCCGGGCTCCTTTCAGATTGAGGGTCTTCAGACAGCAACAACTGCAAACTGAGTGTGAAGGTGGCAGTAATGGCGACACTGCCAACAACAGTGCCCAGAAACACCGTCCAGCAGCATTTCCACGTCTCCATTCACCCTGGGCTTCCCTTCCCTCCTAGACTCCCAGGCACGCACACTCCTGGCAGCTTCAGTCAGCCCAGTGACTTCGCAGCAGCTCTCCTGCTTCAGGTTTGATCATCTCTACCATCAGGAGGCCACAGAAGATTAAAGCAATGCCTAGCATTTCCCATCCAGCAACACTCAGCTGGGTGCTGGGAAGCCTGTTGCCCCAGACAACGCGCTTTCTCCTTCCTATAAATATCCCCCCTTGGTTTCCTGTCTGCAAGACCAAGTCCATGTCCTTCAGGGGAGCATCCTGACAGTCTGAGAGCACCTTTTCCCCACAAATGTCTGCCCACAGTGCCATAAGTTGTCCACTTCTAGTTGGGTCATTCGTGTTTCCCCAGCTTCCCAAAACACCCCCAGACAGGATCTATGCACTGCAAGCATCAGACCCTGAGACAGGCACATCAGATCCAGATGGGGGTGATTAAGTGAGCACTTCCCTAAAGAAATGTTTCAGGTTGGAATCTTGTACAACTCTTTTGGCCTCAAATGTTAGATCTATCTGGCCACAAATCATGTGACAAACACCTGACAAATAATTCTTGACAAAGTGAGCCAGATCACTTAGCAGACAAGGTGGCTTTGCTGGTGGAAGGCGTCCAGTGAACCCTGTGTTCTCATAGCGACGAGTGCTGCCCCATAGAGGACATACTGCATAAGGAGGTGGCACTGAATGTGCAGGACAGGAAACCATGACTAAAACCCTGGTTAAGTCATCCCTGAGTAAGTAGGAATTATGCATGCAAAAATAATAGCTTTGAATGTAAACAAGCTCAGGCCATTCACACAGCAGCAGACCTTTCGCTTGAATGAAGTTGGTAACTAAAAATAAACTACATGAGCGACCTGTTGTAATTAAGCACCTATGATAACCTCCATTATAAGGGAAGGGATCACTCTGAGACTGGGGAGAGACAGGAGGGAGGAATCTTTGTCTCCTATGTGGACACAGAATCAGGTGCATTTTCTCAGGCAAGGGAACCAGAAAGAAAAAAGGAGAAAAATAAGGCCAGTACCTTAATCTTGGCTGCCTCCAAGGCCTTCTTGCCATCCCAAGCCCAGCCTCTCTTCGTGAAATAGTTGACTGTGGCAAACTCAATCAGAGCAGAGAACACGAACGCATAGCACACAGCGATGAACCAGTCCATGGCGGTGGCATAGGCCACTTTGGGCAGGGAGTTGCGAGCGCTGATGCTGAGTGTTGTCATGGTCAGCACTGTGGTCACCCCTGCAAGTGCAAACAGGGAGGGGTGGAGAGGGGCAATGGTCAAGAGAGCCCTGGGTCCCAGTGCAACACCCTCAGCAGAGCAGATGAGACACAGAGAGGCCCGCTTACTTTAACCCAGCCTGCTGGGCAGCTGTGCCGCCATGGAAATGCTGCAGTGGCCACAAAGAAAGGTCAGGTTTTTGGGGGAGGGATGCCGCCTTAGCACTGGAGGTTATGGGCCACTTCTGGGGCATCTACTAACTGTCAGGCTTTGACCTAAGTTGCGTTTTGAAGTGTGTTCTTTTTCAGAAAGGAGTTCGAGGATTTAAAGATGCTTAGCAAGCATCCACCCCATGCTAGAGGGGACAAGCATCTTTGGAGTCAGGTCCCTGGACTCTTAGTCCAGTCAGCTCCCTGGTGGGCACGCTGCCTCTTCACCCATCATTCTGTCTCTACCCGTGCACCCGTGCGGGGCATGTGGGTGTCACACACCCACGGTGGGTCAGCTGGGAAGGAGAACGTACTGAATGTGCATATACTGAATTCTTAGCCTCACACTGTGGACTCTTTTACACAAGTATTTGAGTTAAAATGAAGCCACTGTGTGGTAAGCCATCATAGGATTACTGTTCTTCAAAAAGGGGGAAATCTGGAGAAAGTCTTACACACAGGTCAACATATGTAAGTACTAGAGTTATTCAGGCAAGAGCCAGAGAGGTGTCAGCACCACGGAGAGGGGCCAGGACCACATTCCCCTCAGCCCTCAGGAGGAGCTTTGCTTCCTGCATCCTGATCTTGGACTCCCAGCCTTCCAAACTGCGAGCCATAAACTTCTGCTGTCTAGGACGCCCTGGAAGAGGGATTCTATTATGAAAGCCACAGTATAGAACCAAAGGATGGGACATCACCAGGCCACAGCTTTCATGCCATCCCATCCTTCAAATGCATTTGTATACGCTCACTGAACATGGAACCGTGTGTGGAATTAAGACTTGAGGAGCCATCAGTTCACAATGTGATTTGGTTGGTTTTGTTTTGTTGTTCAGGAATCCAGCCATCACTGTGCATGTGAGTTCTGTCATGACCTTAAATAGGCCTCTCCCATCTTCTTGGGTCCTTAACAGCCTAACATGCACCACGACCTCCAACAGGAAACAGACTATAACACAATTTTCATATATTTTCCACCATGTGGTGGATTAACTAACAGTCACCCTGTAACCCCAGCTGAACTGAGTAAGCATGGTGCTGGGTGTGGAAGGCCCACCCAAGGACTGCTGGCAAAAACAAAACGAGAACCTGGAGAGGAAGGGTTGGTGCTGTTGACTCTCCTGGAGAAGCTTGTTGTTGTGGCTTTCCTGGCATGAGCTTGGCTGTTCTCATCAGCAGCGGAGCTCTGGACCACGTGGTCCCTGAGGATGGCTGCAGTTTTTTGGAGGAGCCCTGATCTATTCCCTGAGTGTCGGTTCCAGTGCAGATCTCTCCTCCTGTCTGCACAAACCCTTCACCTGGCTGGTGGAGACTTTCTAGCTTCCACCACTGACCTTTGTGCCTGCCCAGTGAAAATGCTTGATACAGACTTGCATGAGACATTGTCATAGGCTCTAGGTCTCCAGCTGGTCTCATGGAGGACACTGCTGTGAGCTCTAGGTCTTAAGCTGGACTTGTGTGGGACATTGGTATGGGATCCAGGCCCTCCGCTGGATTCTTTGGGCCTCTAGCATGTGACAAATCTCCTTCACTCTTCTGCATTTGCTTCTTTGGGTGACTATTATCAAATAATCCTATAGAAGTCCTGTATTAACTTGCTTCCCTTGGGAACCCTGGCTATAATATATCACTTGCCCAGTAAATCCCCCTGAACATTGTATGAGGTCCTTCATTAGCAGGGACTTCTCTGCCCTGAGCCAATGTCCACATCTTCCTAAGAGTCCTGGAGTCCAATTGGGGGCATGTGGGGTGGGCGTGTTGTTGGTAGTGGAGGCTCCCAGCCTTCACCTATAAAGTCCCAGTCTTTTGGGGCTTCTTGCACACTGTGGGGAATTTTTAAAATGAAATGCATGCAAATGTCTCCCTCCTTTAGAGAGAAAACTGCAATAAGAAGAGCTATGGCACAGGAAGCTGAGAGGATCCACACTGAGCTGCAGCCTTTCCATCTCCTTCTGAGCTGAATGGATGAGCACTGTGGTTTGGCTGAACGTTGGAGGGCCGGCCCTGACCACGGTGCTGCTGGGAGGTGGTGGGACCTCCAGGACATGCTCGCAGTCACTGGGGACCTGCTCCTGGAGGGATATTAGGACCCTGCCTCCCATCCCCATCTCTCCCTTTTTGTCTCTTCTTGGCCACGGGGTGAAGAGTTTTCCTAAATATTCCCACCATATTGTGCTGCCTCACCACAGGTCTCAAGGTAACAAGAACAACTGACCTTAAACTGAAAGCTTCAAACCATGGGTTAAGACAAGCATTTTGTCTTTTTAATCAGTTGTCTCAGGTATTTTGTTATAGTAAGGGAAAGCTGACTAAAGCAGTACATGTAAGAAGGTCAATGATGCCCAACCACATCACGTCCACTTCCCCATGCCCAGATGCCCTCAAAGTTAAGAGTTTTCTGGAATTAGTATCTGAGGGGCATAAGTAATGTTGTTCCAGGGTCTCAGTACATGCGCTTGCCCTTCACAGTCCATGGAGATTGGTTCCAGGAACCCCATGGAATCTAAAACCTATGGATGATCAAGTATAAAAATAGCAAAGATTATTTGCATATAATTTATATGCATTCTATTGTTCAACATAAATCATCTCTGCATGACTTATAACATCTAAAACAATGCAAATGCCATGAAAATACTTATTATAGGCAATAATGTATTGCCTATAATGGACCTTAAGCAATAGTGACAAGAACAATGGTCTGTACATTTCATTACAAATTCAATTTTTTCAGCCAGTGTGGGTTGGTGGAATCTGAGGATGCAGAACTTGTGGATACAGGGGTGACTGTGTAGGTATTTAATTCAACATTATCCTATACAATGTACTGACTGCTATTTGGTAGTTAATTTTCAAGTGATACACACATTTCCCAAAAAAACCACTGCACCACTTTCAAAGTAGCTACAAGCATTGCAAAAGTACTTTAGTGAAATCTCACATAAGACAAGCATGTGTCGGCAATTTCAAACCTTACAAGAAAGATTCCCAGGGAAAGGTTTTCAGAATGGAGAGAATTATCAAGTAAACCGCACAGCATTCCCAGTGCTCATTCAGGGTAAAATCCTATCTCCTACTCCAAAATTTAAATGTTTAACTAACTGGTTAATTTGGTTCCCACATCAAAAAATGGGTAGGCACCACTGGGAGCTGATGACTGCATTAGGCAGGTTTTTGTCACTGTAGTAAATTAGCTGAGGCAAACAACTTGAGAACAAGAGAGGTTTATTTTGTCTCACTCTTTTGTGGGTCTCAGACCAAGCAAGTTGACCCTGTGCTTCTGAGCCTCGAGGCAGCACTGCCTGGCAGGTGGCCTGTGGAGCAGCAAGCTGCCCGCCCTCGTGTGACAGAAAGAGGAGAGGCCCAGATCCCAGTGCCCCTTTCAGTGGCAAACCTGGCAATCTAACTGTTTCTGCTCTACATCCTAGAGGTCCTCCCATCTTTCAAAATCCCCAGCGCTCTCCCAGCACTTGGGAGACTGAGACAGGAGGATCGCCATGGGTTCAAGGCCACCTGGGCTCTGTAAGCGAGTTAAAGGCCAGCCTGCATTACACAGCGAGGCTCTGTTTCAAAACACAAGACAAAACAACAGTCCCCAGAGCTGGAGATCAAGCCTCTAATGCAGAAGTCTCCTGGACATTTAAGGTCTGCACTGCAGTGTGGCAACGAGCTTTATCACTTTGTGTGTGATTAGGATCAATCACGAAACACCGCTGTCTGGGCCTGGGTTGGGGACACTCACCAAAAACTGTTCTGGCCGGGACAGATTCTCTGTTTAGCCAAAAGGACACCTGGGACAAGATCACTGTCATTATGCAGGGGAGGTATGTCTGGATGACGAAGTAGCCGATCTTCCGCTTCAGGTGAAAATGAGCCGTCATAATCGTGTATTCGCCTGCAGACAAGCCAGCAACACATGTCAGGGCCCCGTGTCTCCGGAGTCCTGCTCCAGGCAGAGGAGGCATCGCCTATCCTTCACACACGCCCTTATTTGAATTATGTTAGTTAGAGAAAGGACAGAGCAAGACGCGTGAATTTCTCAACCATCCCTTTGTGAGTCTCTGGACAGTCTCTTAGAGCCTCCCTGATGGCTGCTCTTCTCAGGGAAAATCAGATTTGTGTGTTGGCTAATCCCTGCTCACAATCTCTGTGCCCCCTGCCTGCTCTGCAATCAGGATTTCAGGATTTATCTTCGCACACAGAACTCAGAATACCTCAGTGCTCTGTTGTGAGTGGAGAGCTCCTTCCTATTGCCCAGTGGGGGAAGCTCCAGGGCAGTGGGGCGGCCCCGCACCCTGAGATCTGCTCTTGTCCTGCCCATCGGAGGGTGAGAAACAGCAGCACAGGACCCTAACACTGGCAGCCCATCCAGCGGCTGCCCAGCAGAGAAGGCACTCTCTAGTGTCTACAATTGGGACAGCTCCTGGCCATGTCCCAGTGCCTTCTCTGGATTTGCCTGGCCGTGTGGAAGGCGAGTGGAGACCTCCCGTTCTTTGCTGAGAACAACGCTGTCCTGATGGTTAACTGGTAAGGAGCTGGGCGGGCAGGCTGCTGGTGTGATGGGGCGAGGCCTGCTGGCATCTCCCTGCTGCTGGGAGGTGCACCTCCCTGGGGAAATGACAAGGCTGCTCTGATGTCAGGACAGCGCTCCTCAGCTCTGTCCTGTGTGCACTGTAGCCAAGCTGGGGAGAAGCAGCTTGGGGTTTTCAGTAAGGCAGACCTCAGGTGGGAGTGGTCTACCGCTGCATGGACAGCGCTGGGCCTCTGGAGGCTGACGACAGCCCCAGTGCCGTTAAAGTTCACAGCTCAGCAAGGTTGGCTGCGGATGCCCCTGTGTATCTTCGCTTACCACATGTCACACATCAGAGTCCAAGAAGCTGTGAGCCTGGGTGGAAAAGCCTGCCTTTTTGCAAAAGGAATCCCACATTCTCAGCAGGCCTGAGAGGCGGTGTGGGGTGGGGATGGGGGTGTTTAGCATACCCCTGGGCAGGACAGAGCGATGGGAGTGGTTCCCAGAAGGCTCCAGTGGGGCAGGGAGAAACAGGCCCCAGTGGCTCCATACCAACAATCAGATCTTTAAGGATGAACCAACACTGCCCTCTTTAACGCTGGGAAGTGTGAAACACCAGGCTACTGCCTCACAGGTGGGCCCCAAACCATTCTCTCCATTCTTCCTGCGCTCCTCTGGAAATGGAACTAGGAAATCAGATAATGTTTGGAACAGGTGTTCTTAGGGTGTAAACAGGCATGGAAACCTCCAAAAGAGCCCCAAAAAAGTAACTGCCCACAGTGCCGTACTGTGGCCACCAAATTCTTCACTCCAGACTTTTGCCCTAAAGCATTTCCACTCATTTCCATAAAACCAGGCCAGTTTCTGCTTCCTTTCCATGCAGCAGTGTGGCCCGCTGCTGACCCCATCCCCCAGGCTCTCTGATGGCCCACAGGATGCCCAGTGCACAGGGCGCACAGCTGGGCAGGGCCTGACCCTGCAGCTCCACACTCTGTACCTGCAGAGCAAGCTGTGCCCTGAGCAAATGCGCATCCTGCCGGCTGCCAGGGTGAACGTTTCCCACCAGCAGCTCCCTGAGGATGATGCCCTCCGAGGCTTAGGTCTCACTCTGCAATCAGGGCTCCCTCTATCCCTCTAGGCTTTTCTGCCCTGCTACAACTGAAAACTTTTGCAGCCTAGAGCCTCACTCCCACCACCTGGTGACCAGCAGCCAGGAAATGTCTGATCACACAGCCTGAAGGCCCCAGAGGTCAATGCATGCTGCGCCCTGGGAGCCCTGGCACTGATCAGGCAAGCCAGGCTTGTGGCGCCCTTCTGGGTTCAGGCTGCCCCATGTTTGGGACCGCGAGCGCCGGCTTCTTTCTCTGTACTGACTCAGCTACTCTTTCCATGCTGCTCAGAGGTGCTTTCCAAAGTCAGCCCCAGGAAGACTCTGAATGCCAACCTGAGAGCAGCTGCTTTCCTGCAGAGCTGGCCTGGCCCCCCTGTGAGTGGGCAGACAGTTACATAAGCAGCTCACAGGCCTGGGGCAGGGCCTGTTCCTAATGCTGCAGATGCTCTGCAGACGAAACAGGGCCTCCCCCTTGGACTCCCGGCAGCTGCAGCTGGTAGCTTTGTGAGCAGCTGCACGGACAGCCCCGAAGCACGGCAGCTGCACCGCTAAGGGACTGCAGCTGGCCAGCGTGCTCTGTCTGTGGCCAGTGTCCCCTCCGCCAGGGGACATGGAGCCCGAGTCCCCCAAGGGCCCCTGCCCATGTAGGTGCTTACCCGTGCTGGTGCTGATGTTCTCGGTACCCACCGTCTGCCCCATGAGGTGGTACTGGTTCAGTCTGGAGCCGTCTTCGGCCACCACCACAGACTTGGTGGAGCCGTTGGTCCAGACGTAGACGACTTCGGAGTTAGGGTATGCATCTGCCGGGAGGGGCGGAAAGGGCACAGGCAGGAGTCAGTGTGGGCCCGGAAGACCCACACGTGTGGAGGGGAAGTTTGGAAAGTCAAGTGCGTGCGGGGTCAGGCCAGGACAGAGGCCGCTGCAGTTCCGGCCCTTCCCCCAGAAATGGTCTGGACGCAGGAGCCTGTCTCTGTGCTGCGGGGGGTTTTCTCTGTCAGCACAGCTGGGGAAAGCCCTGTTCTGAGCCCAGCATGCCTGCTCCGTCAGCTCTGACTCTGCAAGCCACTTACGGTCTGTGCCCTGCTCTTTCCTGTGAATGCGACACCAAGGGCCCTGCCATGACCCAGTGTTATTCACAGTGACACATCTGTGTGGAGTGCTGACCAAGGTCATCACTGTATCCATGGGGGTCTCGCTTTACGGCTGGCCTGGACCATGCTGCACAGTAAGGAACTGTCTTGGGAACCACATAAATGATGTCGTATAATATATTTGTAACAAAAAATGCCTTTATTTTCAAAGTGTTTTATTATGACACCTAAAAAGACAGAAACAAAACCAGTGGGTATTGGACCTTGTTTTGTGAGACTAACGCATCAGCGCCTCGTTCCCTCACTGCCCACGCAGTCCACCCACAAGCAACTGGCTCACAATCACGTAACCATGTGAATGGTTATGACCCGGGGCGGGGCACAGTACCAGCTGTCTGGGAAGTCTGGAGTCTAAAGAACCTCTGCAGCTGGCAGAGCTGTCCAGCTGGAGGGTGACGGGGTGGGAGTACCTGCGCCCCCTGGCGTCACAACTGTGAAATTGTTGCCTTCTGTGGCAAAGGACTGCAGATGGGATGTAGGTGTCCTCCCTTAAAACCCTAAGATTATCCGGGATTATCCCAGTGGACCCGATCTAATCACAAAGATCTCGCTCCAGCTGGAGGAGCTGCAGTGATTTAAAGCACAGGAAAAGAACCTGACTGGCAGGGGCTGGCTGCGGAGGCTGGGGAAAGGAGTCAGGAGCCCAGGAGAGTGGCTGGCTTCCCAGAGGTGAGACATCCCCAGGCGACAGCCACAAGGGCATAACAAACACCCTACTCTGGAAGTGCATGGAACTGAAACCCAGGCCAAACATGCATGAGCCTGGGGAGATTCACCCCGAGCCCGTGGAGCGAGCAGAACGCAGCCCATGCAGCCCAGACCACTATGATCTGTCTCTCAAGCCATGGACCTGAGAACTCAGCCAGGCCCCCTGACTCCGAGCTGTTAGAACTGAGAGACAGCAGAAGCAAATCAGCAGGTAGATTTGGAAAAGTTGTCACTGTCGGAACAGAGAACTAGAACAGGCAGGATGCAGGACAAGCAGGAGTCACAAGAAATCCACATTCGAGAGAAGAAACAGCTATCACACTAGAAACAAAATAAATATGGTGGCAGCACAATGAAAAAATGTCAGCCAAGAAGGGCAAGAGACACATTTCCAAGAAGGCCTCGCTCAGGAGGTCTGAGTCAGTGATCTATCACGGTGTGCAGGCACAGGCCGTGTGGCCCTCAAAAGAAAGCTGATCTCACAGAGGGAGCTGCAGGCACAAAGGTCCCGGCAGGGATGTGCTGGGGATGGCTGGGATAAAGGTCAGAGAAAATCTGGCCTGAAGATGCTGGAGGTCTGTGACTTCTCCTCTGAGACTCAGACAGCAATTGAGGGTATAAGCAACCGAGGACCTATTCTAAGGCAGCCATCAAAGAAGCACCCTGGCTAGGTGGGACAGAAAACAGAGATGGAAAAGGGCCAGAAATGGAAGATGGGATGGTGGGCAGAGGTGGAGAAGAGAACTCAAGGGTACATTTCTGTTTTCAAGTTCATCCGACAAGGAAGAATGCAGGATCTTACACTGAGTAGGGTGGCCAGGGCCCGGGGTTTGGCTTCTGGTGACACAGCAGCAGTCCTGTGTCAGAGGGGAGAAGTTGGCAGTCTGCTCAGAGAGGCTGGGCAGGCAGAGGCTACAAAGACCCTGGTCACAGGGAGGGCCCTGCACACCTGGGCCACCTGAGAAACAGGCTGTGACATCTCCTCTTGAGTGCCAGGGAAGAGGATGGGGCATGGCTTCCCAGGGTGCTGCAGGGTCCTCCAGAGTTTAAAGAGATGAGAAAGGAACAGCGGAGGATAGTCACATGCAGTGAGTGGGCAGAAGAAATGTGCTCTCCTGGAGGCCGTGTCACAGGCTGCAGATAGCGGCCACGGGTTGGCCAGAGGATCCAGCCAGGCCACTTATACAAGTATAGTTCCCTAGGATCCCGCTGTCCAGCTGTCCCTCAGGTCCTGTCCTCAGTTTCCCCTGAGAGCTCACCCACCACGCTGGAGGGGGGCAGACACTGACTCGAGATTACTGAAGCCTATGTCCCACCACCGAGTAGAAATCAACCTGCGAGAGACAGGCTCCGGGACACTGTTCCTCAGGAGACAGCTGCTCTGGGCCTCTGAGGGAGCGGGGCCAGCCCACGCTAGGGACAGCACCTACTGCAGCCAGGCTCTGGTGTCAGAGGGAAACCCACAGCTCCTGTGCATCCCGGGTCTCAGCAGGAAGAAACCAGAAAAACGACCACAGGAGCAACCAAGAGCTTTACTACATTGCTACTTGAATTCTTGTTCTATGATAAGTGTTCGTAACAGCTGAAAAGCAATAAAATAAGCAGTATATAGGGAGCCCCCCCCCCCCCGCCAGTGCACAGCTCACCCAAAGCTCTCCACCTCCCCTTCCACGGTGGCACCTAACTGTGTTGCTTTCTGGTTTCGTATCCTGGGCAGGCATCACTGAGCAATCTATTGTTTGTCTTTGCTTATTTTCCTCTCTGCAAAACCTGTTTGTGTTTTTTACACCTGTCAGATTGGTGTGTTTCTGTTACAGATTCTGATCCATTATAGATTATAGGTACAGTGTTTTGCTGTATGTGTTATAAATATCTGCTTCAAATGTTTCATTACGGTGCTACTGGGGACAGAGATAAACGGTAACTTTAATACTGATGTATCTACCGGACTTTCAGACTCACGCCCAATTCTCTAGGACACGTGAGCCGCACGAATTTTAACTCGCTGTGTTTCACAGCTGTGGTCTCAGTCACCTGGACCTCAAGCGTGTCTCTGTATTTATGGCTCCTATGTCAATTTCCCACACTCGGTGCGACCACAGTAGCCTCAGGTTGCCCACCCAGCTCCCAGGCAGGCCAGGTAAGGGCGCATCATGAATGCCGCCCTCTCCCCTGGCCCCTCTGCCCATCTTCAGTGTAAAGACGGCGTCAGACCATCCACAGCCAGAGCAGTGAGGGGCACCTTCTCCTCTGCAGGGCTCCTGGCTGCACTTGGCCCTTTGTTCATGCAGGTTAGAGTCCAGTTCTTAGGATTCTTTTACTTTATTTTAAAGCTTTATGAGATTTCTGTTGGAAACCAGTCGACCTACAGACATAGGCTGTAGACTGGGGAGGCACAACATTCAACCAGTCTTCTTCCCACGGACACGATGGTCTCCTCACGTTCCAGTCCTCTGTGTGGAACTATCTTCCAATAAGGCAAAATCAGATCCCCCACAAGCATCATGCACACTGTGTTAATCCGTCAGCAGTCACTGTGACCAAATCCATGAGGTAACCGTGAACCAGGAATACAGGCCTGCTTTTGCTCGTGGTTTCCGAAGTGTCCACCCAGGGTTGCTGGGGCCTGTGGCGGCACAGTGCATCACAGTGGGAGCAGGTGCCAGGACTTTAACCTCTCAGTAGCCGGGAAGCAGAGACACAGAGCAGTCTGCTCTAATCTCCCTTCAGGCAGGCCCCGGCGAGGGCCCCTCCTTTCTGCAGGATCCACCTCATACAAGTTCGAGCACTCCTCAATAGCGCAGGGCTGGAAACCAAGTCTTCACACATGGGTCCTTGGGAACAATCAAGACCCAAACCATGGTAACCAACTGTTGGCAGACACTCCCTACTCAGATGTATGACGCTCTTTCAGAAACAGTGTATCTTGTCCCAAGACATGGCCACGTGGACATCAACTTAGAACCTGAGTCCAGATGGGGTCAGAAGCATGAAAATTAGCAGTAAGACCCCAATTGATCTGCCCCTGAATGAGATGCTAACAGATAGGAGTGGGGCGGCTCCTGTGACAGCAGCTGCTGAGGGGCCCTGGAAGTCGTACTTATGAGAGGACATGGAGTGACTTTCCGCCCCTCCCTTCTGTTTTCAAGTGTGAGGTGAGACAGAAACGCACTTCACATGTGCAACACCGGCTCTGCCCTGATGAGTGCATCCCGTAGAGATCCCCTTCCCTGAATGTCTCTGGGGCGAAGGCACCATGGAGTGACATGGTTTTACCCCGCTTTACCCCAGCAAGCGGCTTTCTGATCCTGTGGCCACCGGTACCAGCGGGCACACTCTGGTCCTCTCCTGCTCCCCAGGTCCATGTCAGTGACACTGAGATCTTTCCTTCCACCCATGTAATGCTTCAGAACCCTGAGTGATGCACGGCTTGGGTAACTCAGACGCGGCTCTGTGCAGAGCAGCCACCCTGGAGCCCGGCCAGGCTGGGAGTGTGGAGCCAGCAGGCAGGAAGGGACAAGGCCTCGTCCTCTGGGGGCAGGGGAGACGCCCCCACTTCTGCTGCGTGGCCCAGGCCCTGTGCACCTGCTCTGTGTCTTCCCAGCTCCCCTTCCCCGCAGCAGGAAACCCTCCTGCTTCCTGCAGCTGCTTACCGTGCTACCTTCTGCCTGATTTGGAGCTCTATAAAGCAGAACACCTAGCTGCCTCTGACCATCCAATAGCAGGGCCAAAGAGAAGGCTGGACACTTGTCACTCTGACTGTCTGGGATTCATCACCCTTTCCCTCGAGACCACTTGCCCTGTACTGACACTGATCTCTTCCAGGCTTGCAAATCCTCAGGAGGAGGTTGGGGACAGGGGAAACAAGCCCTTAGTTTCATGGCCATTCAGAGTCGATGACTGAAATGATTCCAACATTTACTACCAGAGCAACCTAGACC